CTAAACCTAACCAAACCATGATGTTTTACTAAACCTAACCAAACCATGATGTTTTGCTAAACCTAACCAAACCATGATGTTTTACTAAACCTACCCAAACCATGATGTTTTACTAAACCTAACCAAACCATGATGTTTTGCTAAACCTAACCAAACCATGATGTTATACTAAACCTAACCAAACCATGATGTTTTGCTAAACCTAACCAAACCATGATGTTTTGCTAAACTTACCCAAACCATGATGTTTTACTAAACCTAACCAAACCATGATGTTTTGCTAAACCTACCAAACCATGATGTTTTACTAAACTACCCAAACCATGATGTTTTGCTAAACCTACCCAAACCATGATGTTTTACTAAATACCCAAACCATGATGTTTTGCTAAACCTAACCAAACCATGATGTTTTGCTAAACCTACCCAAACCATGATGTTTTACTAAACCTAACCAAACCATGATGTTTTACTAAACCTAACCAAACCATGATGTTTTACAACCTAACCAAACCATGATGTTTTGCTAAACCTAACCAAACCATGATGTTTTGCTAAACCTAACCAAACCATGATGTTTTACTAAACCTAACCAAACCATGATGTTTTACTAAACCTAACCAAACCATGATGTTTTGCTAAACCTAACCAAACCATGATGTTTTACTAAACCTAACCAAACCATGATGTTTTGCTAAACCTAACCAAACCATGATGTTTTACTAAACCTAACCAAACCATGATGTTTTACTAAACCTAACCAAACCATGATGTTTTGCTAAACTTACCCAAACCATGATGTTTTGCTAAACCTAACCAAACCATGATGTTTTACTAAACCTAACCAAACCATGATGTTTTACTAAACCTAACCAAACCATGATGTTTTGCTAAACTTACCCAAACCATGATGTTTTGCTAAACCTAACCAAACCATGATGTTTTGCTAAACCTACCCAAACCATGATGTTTTACTAAACCTAACCAAACCATGTTTTACTAAACCTAACCAAACCATGATTTTGCTAAACTTACCCAAACCATGATGTTTTACTAAACCTAACCAAACCATGATGTTTTACTAAACCTACCAAACCATGATGTTTTACTAAACCTAACCAAACCATGATGTTTTACTAAACCTAACCAAACCATGATGTTTTGCTAAACTTACCCAAACCATGATGTTTTGCTACACCTAACTATTTCCGTAAACCGCTAACCTTTTAGTAAACCTAACCAAACTGTATAATACACCATGGTAAAAAGGTGTATATATGTTGTAATAATAATTTGATCACTGGAGTCCACATGTACCGACGCTGAAAGGAGCCTTATGTGTAAAATACTGAGGTTTTGTCAGGCTGTCTCAAAGTGTGGGTATTTGAGGCCCTGAGATGAAAACACATTGACTGGTCAGGGTGGATGTGGTTTTGACACTAAGGACCGTTTGAAGGAAGTTTGTCACATCTTAGAAAATAACCCCACTTATGACACGGTGATCTCAGCTTGGTTTGGAAATAATAGAAATTTAACACAAAGCCTGGATTACAAACTAAAAGGTATGGAGTTTGAACAATGTGTTTAACAGGCAAAATATGCTTGAATATTGCATCATGGGAAACGTAGGACCCAGTGTTTTTGATGCTTAATCCACAGGGACTACAAATCAGGATCTCTCGACCTCTGTTGGTTCAATTTTGACAATTCTTTTCACAACATTTTTTTGCTAGAACTCCAAATGTATGGTAGTGCAACAGTAAATCTCTGGAATAAAGACGTGAGGAGTCTTTAAACCATGTCCGTGCGTTAAAAAATGTGAGCTCTCCAGGTTTGTCTGCTTTGTGCCATATAGCTGAAGTTTTTGTGGGGAGTTTTTCCTTGTCTTCTTAGCTATTTTGCAGCTGTTTTGGCAACTGCTGCTACTGCTGTAAAGGCCTGTAAAGTCCAATGAGTGGGATTCTTAACTGTTTGAAGAAACTGAAGAAGGAGAAAGTGAAAAATGTGATTTGCTGTTTCAATACTGAATTGAACTGAATCTAGATCTCTGTTTTGGTTGGACTGGCTGGATCTGAATGATCCTTGTGCCCAAACTATTCCAGCATCAACAACAGCTGTCTCCCATTTTTTTTTAACCTAAGAACACTGCACTAAATGAGAACATTGTTCAACTCACAGTAAAACCAGACTACTAGGAGGTCTTCCCACCGGACCTTTCCAACCGGTTTCCCACTACTCAAGTCCCTCATTGCGCAACACTATCACACATCTTGAACAGCTGTGCAAAGGATTGTACTTCATGACAGAATAAAAAAGCACATATCTCCTCAGTGGGAATGTACAAACATTCCCGTGTTAAATCTTCTATGCTCCTTCTCTGTAATAGTAAACTAGGTATTTTACACATTTTTACATTAGTCTTCAAGGCAACTTTATTTATAGACAGCTTTTCATACACATGCATACATTACATAAAATATGACAATAAAAAGAGGAACAAATTAAGTTAAATTAAAAAATAAGGCAAAAATTGGACAACTAAAGCTGCACAGATGACGAAGCAACTCAGTGTTCATAAACCCTACAAAACAAGAAGGTTTTGAGGGTGGATTTGCCACTTTTGGGGCACATTTTAGAGATTTTGGAAGTTTGTTCCAGGTGTAGGAAGAAATCCTTGTTTTGTCTTAGGTCTATAAATAGTTAGTACTCCCTTTTGGGACAGCGTAAGGGTTCTTGATAGTAATTTGGCCCCAAGCCATTTAGAGTTTAATAGACCAATAAAATAAGTTGGTGTGATATGGTCCTATGTTTTAGTTTTTTTTAGAGTAGCCTATACTCTAAACCAAAATGGTGCTAAATAGCACTAACAGTGGTTCATTGGTTTGTAATCATAGGGGAACCAGTTTCCATGCTAAATATACCTGTCAAATGGTGTGAAGAACTTTTTGGTACTATAGTATATATATATATACACACACACTAATACTACTATACTACAAAGACCGTTACAGTAGTCTAGTCTGCTAAATGTTGTATTGTTCAATAAAGAGTCCAAGTCAGTGTTTGTTTTAGAGGTGGACTGCACCTTTGACTTTAGTTCAGAGGAAGCATTTATGACCAAGGTTAGTAAATGCCAACCACTCCTAAATACCGTCTCAGAGCTGGGTGATAGGTGCAGTTGATTTGTTTTTACATTTAGCAGCTTAGTACTGACAGGTTGGTTGTAAGACAGTGGTGAAAAGTTTGAATTTATGGTGGAAATGTTTTTATTTATGTAAAAGGTAACACAAAATTCAGGTGGCAGGTGACATTTCAAAATATTTAAATAAAACAGAATCAGCGCAGCTCTCAGTCATTCTGTGCTGCTTTCAGATCTGTTTCTCCTGCGAATCAACTTTTCTCCTGTAATATCATCCCTGCTGAGGCAACACATACTGTATGTAGGCATGATTTAGTCTTCCCTCCTCTTTTATCATGTTCACAGGGAGAGAACGGAAAACTTGACCCAAGAGAAACTGTGTGAAGAAGCTGTTAAAGTTATTGACTGGTGCTGCACGTTTTATAGTCAGTAGCTTGTTTTTTTTTTAGCTTAAGTTACTTTTTTTTGAACAAAGCCCATTTGTTTCTTCTATATTTTAATTGCACAGCATGCTTTCCTAATGTGCAAATACACCTTTTGAAAGGCATTTTCATTTGGTATTTAACCGCATGCTATATTTCAGAACGCTTTTTTAACAAATTTTCTTTAAAAAAGTGATGGGTGTTATGGGGTTGTGTGGTGTGGGGACAGAGAGGACCCAAAAGCAGCACTCTGAGGGAAGGAGGTTTATTGACGGATAAAGGGGTAGAGGGACTGGAGTGGAGGGAGAGGTGGATGTTGGGGAAACACAGGCACGGGGAACCAGGAAGACTGGGGGCCAGGGAGCCGGGAACACTGGGGCCGAGGAAGCGAGGAGCGGTGGGGGAACAGAGAAACATGAAAAGCCCGAACACAGAGGTGGCACCGGGTAAGGAGCATGAGGTGATTACTGGCAGGTGTGGCAGGCTGATGAGGTGGCTGATGGGATGCAGGTGCAGGTAGTTGGCTGGGCTCAGGAGCAGGGGGAGAGAGAGCACACAGGGGAGAAAACACAGGGAGGCAGGCAGAGAACAGAAAACCAAGGAAAAAGCAGAAAAACTTATAAAAAGGAGAAAAAAACAGGACACTCACCGTCAGCCGGGCTGCCACCACAACAATGGGGACACAATTAGCCAGTATGTCAGCATTTACCTCCCATCTGATAAACACTGTGCAGTAATCTTATATTTTCCTGCATGTGTGAGGAGGAGGAGGAGGAGGAGGAGCCTGAAGCCTCCTCCTTTATACTACTACTACTACTACACACACACACACCCTTTTTCTCTCAACGCTGCTCGCTCACTTGCAGGACAGCAGCGGATGGACGATCAGCTGCACAGAAAGCAAGCTGCTGCCGCTTCTCTTTGTTCTGTTTACTTTGATCGTCGTTACTCTTGAATTGCTGTTTTTCACTTCCTGTCAAAAGAAGTCTGAGTTTCTGATCTTCGCAGTGACACTCTAGTGAAACAACATGAGCACTAACCTAATGGCTTCCTTGCAGTCCAGGATTCAGATGGCAAAGGAAGTCAATGACGAGGACAAGTTGTACAGATACAACGGGGTGCTGTACCCGTGCCTCATGTGCCCTGAGGATAATTTAAAGGCTCTGGAGAACCTCAAGGCCAGAGAGGATGACATCATGCTGGTGGCGTATCCCAAATGTGGTGAGTTACTGTCATCCAGTTACAACACGTCTTAATGAACAGCTGTGGTTCAGCCAGAGAGTAACAACCACCAGATGAAACAACATTTGTATAAATAATTAAGTTTTTATAAGGTCACAGGAACATTTGGTCCCACTGTTGTGACCTCTGGCCTTTGACCACTGGTTGCTTGTAATGTTAATGATTAAAACACTGGTGAAAGTGAATCTGTAAAGCAAATTTTATCAAAAAATGCTTAAAATGTAAAAGTTTAAGATCTTCTTCTAGTATTTTCTAGCTGTATACAGCATTAGGAATTATCTGATAATCTGAGTAAAATATGGACTCATTTATGAATCTCCTGGTTCTGCAAAACAGAAACAAACAAAGATTTATATTCTTTATTTCCTCTGCAGTCTTTCCCACATAGTGAATGTCGGTCCGCTGTTGAAGGAAATATCTGACTGAGGTCATGACTGGTATGCAAATGTAGGGAACTAAACAACCGGAGAAACTGGATTCGCCCCTTTTTTTGTTTTGTCAAGAACAGCGGGTAACACTGATTTCTGCGGCTGTGTACGGATTAAAAAAATAAGATACAACATATGAATGAGCGAGTTCTAGAGGAGCAGGTGGTGTATTTTTAAACTTTGAACAAATGCTGAGCCAAGCTAACCCTAACTCCAGCTCTGTACTGAACACAGGTATGATTGAAATCTCACTCTCAAAATGAAAACTTCCTATAATGTTGAACTATTCCTTTAATAAATCATCATCCGGTTGAGGAACTTCGGGTTTGGAAAGCCAACACTAATAAGCACATGTGCAGGACAAACACATTAATTATTTAACAAATATATTTCCTTAAATGAAACATAATGTAATGTGCTAAACGAAGCATCTCTCATTTTTCATGTTACACTGTACAGACTGTAATTACAGACAGAAGGAAACTTCCTTTGCGTTTGCACCTAATTTCCACTCAGATGGCTGCTGAGCTGTTGCACATACCACAATCAGCGCTCCCCACAAACATCTGCACAGTCACAGGGGAAAAAGAAAACGAGGAGATTGGTAGATGCAAGACAAAAGGCAGAGTTCATACCAAGCAAGATTTTGAAACCACATCGTGACAATGCAGATTTTGCTCTGACCCCGTTCCAACTTAGCTTAACTTCCTTCCCTCCCATAGACTGCATTTGTAAGAATTGGTCATAGCCTCTGGGTCTGAAAAGTGAAGTTAATTAAAACTGCATTCTCTCAACCAGCCAGCAGGGGGCGACTCCCCTGGCTGTAAAAGAAGTGTGATTGTTTAGACGTCCATGAGAAAGTGAGGCTAATTCACAGCTGAGTTTATGGTCTCAGTCGCTAGTTTCAAGTCTTCTTCAACACAGCGTGATGTTCATTTAGTAAATTATGGTCCCATTTAGAGGAACAGAGACCAGGATGCAGGGGAGGCTTTAGGGGCGTAGCAATCCACTTATGGGTTGCGTTTTGAAAAGCATATGTTGGACAGCGAATTGATGTTCCTACACTTTGGCTTTTGTTGAGATTGAAGAAACACATTAGGATTTTGTTACGTTTGAATTGATGTATGTAGCTAACATAGCTAACGTTAGAAACGATGTAGCATGCTAACTTACATAACGTAACATAAATAAAAAACAAAAAAATTTTTGTTTCACATGGGAACCGAACGCCGGTCTCCTGGGTCAGGGGCCAACTTACTATCCACCCGACCCCCCTCCACCACCATAGTGTTGGACTTTCATGGCTATTCTATGATTATATCTCACACTCGCTGATTTTAACTGGGACAGTAGATGTAAAATGATACGCCGTTTCTGCACAATAAAAGTAAAGGCAGTCTAAATGTCTTGAAATGCCAAATGACTTAAGAAATCGCCGTTTTGATGATACCACGCTGCATATTTGCATATTTTGTGGGAGGAGCCCCAGACCCCCCCACTCAGTAAATATCCCCTCCGGTGTTCTTTTCATCTAACTCACAGCAAGTAAAGTGTGTTACCCAAAAAACTGTCTAACTTTTCCTTTAATGAGCAGTTGCCTTTATGAGAGTTTGTAAAAGGTCGGTACTGAATGTAATCCGATGTTCTGCACAATAAGTTCTTTCTCTGGTGATGAGGAAAGAATTACACAAGAACCATAAAGTGAGCAGCAGAAAATAAAAAAATAAAATGATATAAAAAGAACATTTTTATTGTACCTTGTATCACGTTGCGATGGTTCTGGGTACTGGCGTGCATACATTATGGCTCAAACCCGAGTGAATGATTTATTGATATCTAAAAGGCCCTTTCTTTTGAAAACACAAAGCGCTCACAGTGTTGGGTTTTTACTGGAAGAAAAAAGAGACATTCCCGCTGTCACCATGGTGCGTTTGAGGAATGCGACATGTTTTCTTTTTGGGGAAGTGTTGACTTTCAAAAGGCTTTTTTTTTTTTTTGCCCACCAGCTCACTGATGGAGAAATGACACGAAGACAGATGAGTTAATCGCCTTTGGAGGAATGATTACACGCAACCATCCCACATCTCAATGCACAGGGGCCCCTTTTGGACTGGGGCCCGTATTGGGGATAAAAGAGCTATTTATCTATGGGGGTGTGACTATACAGTACATGTCCACCGTCAGACCAACCAATGGGAGCCTCTATTTAAACGTCTGGACGTCCTCTATTGATGTGACAGGCAGCTGAATATGTTACACAGCAGACAGATAATGGCTTCCTGATGTCTCGGTGATACATGGACGAGGTAGAGGAGGATTAGCCCGACCTTCAACTCAACGAGCTCATATTTACGATCTGCTGCCGGTGATATATTTTCCCTGTCACTGGTGTCTGTGTGTGTTGCACTTTACATCTCTAGTCTAAAACTAGATCACAAATCAATTCTCACTCACTCCAGGAAGTAGCCAGGTGTCATTTTAAAGGGAGCTCCAACTGGATTACACAGATTAATTACATAGCGCCATCTTAAACCTCTTCATCTTTCTTCTTTTTTTTTTTTAAACAATTTGATCGCCAAATTCTATTATTCTGCAATGTAAAAAGAAAACACACGTTTACTGTTTTATTTATTTTATTTTAATTTTTGATATATTATTTTATTTTTCAACACACACTTTTACTGTTTTATTTTTAATATTTTTTATTTTTATATTATATTTATTTATTTTTTAACACACAAACACACACTTTTACTGTTTTATTTACTTTATGTAATGAAATTAATTGGTCTTTTGTAATTTATTTGTAGCTTTGACAGTACTGTTTACATTCATGCCAATGAACCTGCATTGAATTGACTGAGGTTTGAATCCCGTGTGACAGAAAGTCAAAGGTGACATGTTTTGTAGATGACTTACATAATGTACTCATTTTGTACCCAAACCACGATCTTTTCCTAAATCTAACCAAACTGTTTCACAACATTTACCGCATGTTAAACGTCACGGGTCACGTGACTTGCGTTAACGTACTGAAGGTCAGGAACACCCGTCGCTGCACTGGTATTCCTTGTACATGTCGTTTTGGGGAAAGATTATATTTGTCTTACTTTCCAACCAGCCTGTTCTCATTCCCAGGGCGTCAAATAGCTCTGCTTTGTCACGTCTTTCGCCGTCTTGTACCAACGCACATGGGACCCTTTAGTGCCATTGTTCAACACTAAAAGTATTACTATAAATACCAGAAATGTTGGCTTTATTCTCATTTTTAAGGAGGTGGTGGGGTGGATAGGTGAGTCAAGTAGGCTCAGGACTTTAACTCAGGAGGCCGAGGTTAGAGTCACGTGTGGGGGGGGGGAAGCCAAAGTCGACATTTTTCTTAAACCTAACAAAGTAGTTTTGTTGCCTAAACCTAACTTAACTACAACTGTTTCACAGCGTTTACCACGTGTTAAACGTCATGTGACTTAGGTAACTAGATGCTGGACTGGTACTTGCCAACACTCGTACATGTCGTTTTGAGGAAAGGTCAAATATGTTGTTGCTCTCATGGCAGAAATGGGTTTTGGCTGTCTGTACAGTAAAAAAAGAGTTGAGTGGTCCTCCTACTGTAAGTTTGCATTTAAAGAAACATCAAAAATGAGAATCACACAAGTACTGTTAAATAGATGCTCGTTATTGAAGATTCATAATTAGTCAACGCAAACAGTCAACCTGTCAGGTCATAAACACCTTTAAATTACCCCAACGGATGTTTCCCCACCTGTGATCCAGAGTTATTATTCAACTGCAGGGCCTGTCAGGGAAACAGGAATGTCCTCACAGCGTAGTAACAGGCTGGCTCGCTGCCAAACTGAAAGAAGAGATGTGAAACAGATGAAAGAAATGACCTGCAGCAGCTGCATAATCCAAAATGTGCACAGTATAAAGGCATCACTGTCCCTGTACGCTACGTTCTGTTGTTTTAAAATAAACTGAAGCAGCAAGGATTCCCCTCCTGCGAAGTTAAAATGTTTTTACAAACATACATTCACAGTCTGCTGTTACTGTGAGTGGAATATTCATGTTATTCTTACTGGCTGCATCAGGAATAACAGTGTTTTGCATCGTCCTTTTCACTTTTCCCTGTCAGAATAAGGGACGTTTCTGAGCTGACAGAACAAAACTCTACTCCATGTCTGAAACACAACGTGTGCATCTGTGTGCAGGTTTTAACTGGATGGTCGGGGTGTTGAAGAAGATCATTGCAGAGGCCACAGGGGTAAACACGGAGTACAAGGGGCCGCCGCTGATCGAGTTTCTTGGACCAGAAGCCTTAAAGGTGGACACCAGATATGTGTGTGTGTGTGTGTGTGTGTTAGGAAAGCAGGCAGAAAGGGTTAAGGTGGCCGGCTAAGGCGTGCCGATACATACAAGTCTGGCTGTGTTTCGTTGAGCTGTAACAGATTAAAGTTTCACTATAATCAACATTTTTACCGTTAAATCTCTCAAATAATTACGTGTAAGCTGAAAACAGTCATTCATAGTTATGTACTCTGCAGCTCTCTGAAGCTTTTCAGCCTCTTTCAACTTTTTTGATGGCCTCTGCCTCCGTCCCTAGAGCTGCTCACAGGAATTCAAAAACTATCTCAAGAATTCAACAGGATGTCTCTCTTTGAAGCAATGACCTGGTTATTCTAGATAATCTACAGAACAACAATTTGAAAGATATAATAATGGAGACTTTAGGCAATAATTGAATATCTTTTCAAATCTGAATAATGGGATAAGACTTTTTTCATGTTGACAGACTGAAAATTAAATTTTTATGCTTTTATGTTCATTTTTAATGGTATTTAGCCTGGACCAACATACCGCAGCATTCTAGCCTAAGCTAGTTTATAATGCTCGTCCCAGATGGGCCTTTATTCAAATACGCAAAGCTCTACGAGAAAATACAACAATTTAATTTATCAAATCTGCAAGATTGCAAAGACCCTAAAGAATAAGACCTTCTTCAGCTACACCATTTTTGACAGTGCTGACTTTGGGCTTTGTACAATGACACATTGTGGTCTGTGAAATTAAAGAGTGAATCGATTGAGGAGCTGTGCACATATTTTATTACACACATCAGCCAGAGACACTAATGACGCCCCGGGAGGCAGGAAGATTGATTTCTGACATGTTTCTCCTCGTTGACCCTTCAGAAACACGCTACAGGGACACGGGAAAGCACTCCGGTCTGTGGGTTGTGTCTAGACAAATTGCATGTTAGAGCGAGACGAGATGTTATTTCAGATATCTTCCCTGTGAGAGTCAACCCCACTGAGCAGTTTCACATTTTGTCAGCAGGCTAACCATCTGTGATTGGTTACTCCGCTACCAGGTGTCATTTGAAAAGGATTATTCCTGAATACTTTACATCCTGTTTATACAACGCTTAAACATTCCCTTCTGCCGGTTTTAAGTGGGAGTTTTATTTTCTGTTCTGTGTTTTGTCATTGTTGTGACCGTGTATAGTTTTGTCTTTTTAAAGCCCAATTTTCAAATCTAGTGCACTAAAACTTGATCCATGACTAGAAGCAAACAGTCTGGGGCAAAGACGCTTGACATTTGAGATGAAGCAGACATTACAATCACAAAACTGTTTATTGTCTACAGAATAATTATTATATGCAACAATATTCTAAATAGTTTTGACTGCCTTTTTTGGATGCCACCACTTCATACATTTGAGTGTGTCTCCTCCTTCCTCTTCTGCCCCTGGAAGGACTCAAAAGTCCCTGGTACGTACTCTTTTCAAGGAATTAAAACGTTCCTTCCACCGCGGTCTAAAGAACTGCGAAGATTAAGCAAATTAACCAGCTGACGTCAGGCATCATTTTTTGTAACCACCATCCATGAGTAAAATTTATTAGATTTGACTGGAATATAATGAAAAACTATAAATAGAACATAGATAAATAGACCAAACCTCACTGAGTAAGCTGATGTTTTGGATGTAGATCTGCTGAAGCTCAAAAGTCAAACAAAGTTCATCAGATAATGTGGCAGTCTTGAGTCTGTGAGGGTGTTTCTGCAGTATCATAAAGATCATAAAAACACATTCTTACGTCCCGTTTGAATAACAAAAGATACACTAAATAACTGAATTAAACTAAAATGCAGATGTTCTTCTAGGAAACCTCGCTGTGTTCTTCTAGGAAACCTCGCTGAAACACACTGCTGGGCCTCTTCCAACGCTTTAATCACGAACACATGGTTTGGTGTGTTTGTGTGAGAATAGCTTTCTGTGGTCTGTCATGCGTTGAACTCTGAAATGTTGAAATCCTTAGAAAGCATTAGGCAGTGAACAGAAGCTGGAGTAGGAGTAGTTCCACCTTTTGGAAAATATAAATATGCACTTTCATGGTGAGAGTTAGAGTAGATTTATACCACTCTAAATTTGAAGCTAGGTAGCTGCTTAGCTTAGCATAAAGACTGAAAGAGTCCGTCCAAAGGTAACTTTAACCCTCGCTAATTAAACACGTTGCATCTTGTTTGTTTAGCCTGCACATGCCTTTAAGTTTAATTAAATGTTGTGGTTTTATCTCTATTTCCTTAACTTTTTCTTCTACAAAATTAAAAAAAATTAATTTAAGTTTTTGCTTAATTTGGTGAAAACGCTGGTATGAAGTTTGATAAGAAAAATCTCATTCTGGTGGCATTATGTGGCAGCTAATGCTAAACTGCAGCACTTTAATTTACCTTCCCTGTCTTCCCAACACACAGGCCAAGGAGGAGACTCCCTCTCCGAGGTTTCTGGGGACTCACATGCACCCTGACAACATCCCCGCTTCCTTCTATGCAAAGAAAACTAAAGTAAGTTTCCACAACAAATGGATTCTGCTCATCGACTCTCACACGCCTCCAACAGTACTGTATACTCTAACAAAGTCAATGTAGGATAAATATTTTGCACAGGCCTGCTCCAACTTTAATTTACATATCCTTTATTATTTTTAATCTTTTCATATCTTATTGTCAATTTAACATTAATAGTTTGAGTTTAAATAAATGGAACTGTCAGGACCGGGAGCCAGAACTCAGACGCAGACCAGAGTGTAGTTCAAATAAAGGTGAACTTATTCAAAACAAGTACAAACAGAGGTGTGGGCTGGGCGGTTAGTGTTCCAGTTGGTCAGAGGGTTCTGGTCCGGGTTCCAGTCCTCTGGGTCTTGTGATGCTGGTGAGTAATCCGAGTCCAGGGTCCAGGCTAGTACTCTGCGGTCAAGACAGGGTATCTCAAAAAACAGACAAGATTCAGAAAGTTCAGGACTGGGTTGGCTGGCGTGTGCTCATACTGACTGGCACAACGATCCAGCGGGGACTGGAAGGTTGCTCTGGCTTTTATGTATGAGAAGATCATCATCACCCAGGTGAGTAGACAGGCGCACAGGCGACCACACCCACCAGCAGCCTCAGAGCATGCGGGAGAAATCAGAACACAGACAGAAGCAAAACCAAAACCCACCAAGCACACAGCAGACATACCAAAAAGGGCAAAGAACTCAATAAACTATATTCACACGCATACTAAAAAGAAGGTCAGGGTCACGACGAGGGGTCGTGACAGTAAATGGGAATAACACTAAAAAATAAGTCCTCTTTGTAATAAAATCAGAGCCATTTACATGAATTGCTCTGTCTCCTTTATGTTTGAAAAGCAGTTTTTTAGCATTTTTTTTTTAAATTTTATTTTGTTGATTTTATTCTGTCTTATGTTTTATTACATGCATTCTGTATTTTACGGCTTTTTTTTTTTTTTTTTTATCATGCTCCTTTATTTTATAGATGCTGGTGATCTTCAGGAACCCTAAAGACACCCTGGTCTCCTTCTACCACTTCTCCAACAACAACCCTGTCCTCCCAGCACAGTCCTGGGAATCCTTCTTCTCCGACTTCCTGAGTGGAAACGGTGAGAAAACACACTTGCCGCCTTCACGAGCAAAAGACATGAAGCATGTAATAGTCGGTGCTTATTTTGTGATCCAGTCTATTTGTTATTAATTGGATCTCATATGATGATGAGATATTCTCGCACAAATAATGCAAACGAGGTAACCAGGAACACGAGGAACAGGACCCAAATACAACTTGAGGTAGAGCTGGTGCAATGTAACAATGATTTAATGGTAAAAGCCCCAAAAAGCTTTACAGGATCAAAATCCAAAAGATGGTGAAGTGAAAGTCCAAAAACCGTGGGAGAGCAAAGACTAAGGAAAAGGCTGAAACACATGGGAAAAGACAAACTGGCCTTGAGATAAGGAGAGAAAAGGAGGATATGAGATTTGGTGGAATGTTAAGCCTGAGTAACAAATGCATATTTATGTTAATATTAGGTGTTTCTTTACATTTTGTCACTATTATCTGACTTATAATTGTTGGTCAGTGTGTGCATTTTGATGCAGATTAAAATGTATGAACATCATCCTTAATTACAACAACCTTTGTGCAGGTATGAGCTGTGTGAGTGCATGCTTTCTAGTTTTTTGGGGAAGGAAAATCTAAATTTCATCTTATATTCTGTGTTAATCCGTCTCTTAATACTTTCTTTCTGACTTCCTGTCTGTTTGCTCTCAGCCCCAAGCCCAGTGGTTCCTACTGAAGGTCTTTAATCAGCTGAATACTGTAGTTTTTCCTCAACAAGTACTCAAACAGGAAGAAATGGTGCCTTTTTGGGGCGGAAGTGGAGACATTTCGGACACATACAAAATACTTATTTCGTGGTTTACATTCAATGACATCCATTCTGCTGGTCCTAGAATAGTTGTCAAGAAGACAAATGTATACTATCACCAGCTTTGAAGGGATGTAACAGTCAAATCATGAAGTATATCCTTGTTTCTCAGTCCAAATCATAGAGTTGTGAGAAACTGAATTCAAGTTCAAGCAATTCCAGGGGAACTTTAACTAAATTGGGCACAAAATGTGTAACCCGCATCAAGATTATAGGCTGTGAGTGTATATATCTCCCCTGCGGCAGAAATACCACTGACTTTATGAGCCCTGCTGTGTTTATGGGCTATTCTACACAGTGTGCTGCTGCAGACTCAGCAGGTTCACTGTGGAAATCACTGTGTTGGATGTATCTGAATCCAAAACAAACATACAGAACAGGGAAGCAGGCAGAGACACTTGACCCTAACACAGACGAATGGACAATGAACAACAAGAAAACGCAGACTTATATACATAACAGCGAGGGCAGTATGTTTGGAGACACAGGTGCAGCTTTCTTCTATGCAACATAGGAAAAATCAGGCCCTACTTTACTCATTACCACACTCAGCTTCTGGTACAGGCCATGGTTATCTCTCGCATCGACTACTGCATTGCCCTCATAGTGGGTCCTCCAGCTTGTGTGGTGAAACCCCTACAAATGGTTCAGACCTCCACTGGCTACCCATGGCCTCCTGAATCAAATTCAAGTCACTAATGCTTGCATACAGGGTGACTACTAGGTCTGAACCCATCTACCGAAACTCCATAATACAAGGTTTGTCATGGAAGGGCTGAGTGCAATGGCAGACAAAATAAGTTGTGGACCCAAATGCAGACACTTGCGAGGTGGATGCAGTTTTAATGATTTACTAAAACAAAAACTAAACTGAAATAAGCTTCCAAAGAGCTCAAGGCAAGGGTACAAAATCCAATAAATGGAGGGGACAGGACACTCAACGTAGACGAGGATGCCACAAAGACAGAACAGAACTGAGGGCTTAAATACACAGGCAAACAAGCAGGGAGGGATGCACAGATGAAATGCATCAGGTAATCACAACAGAAGACAAAGCCAGACAAGGACACATGAAAACTGATCACTACAAAATAAAACAGGAAGCAAGACACATGGGAACACACAAGGACAGAGTTACCAAAGTAAAACGGAAAACACGGAACAAAACCAGGGCAGGGACTACACTAAACACGGAGACATACTGTAGGACTGAAGACTAAGCACTAAACAACCAGTTTAGTTTACAACTAAACTAAGAATGAAAAAGGCTGCACAGAAGAAACACTAAACCCCAAACCATGACAGACTAAAAACAGGAAAAACATGAACACAAAACCAAAGTCCTTACAGACTCACGTCGCTGCCTGGCTCTGCCATCCCTACACACAAAGCAATCTCAGTCCCTGTTCTCATCGGTGACACCATGATGGTGGAACTTCAAGACGCTCCTGAAAACTCTTCTGAGAAAACTTCCTCTTGTAACACCTCTAACTCCTAACCTCTAACATGCACTTCCTGTGGTCTTCTTCTTCTATATCTCTTTATAATTCTCTTGCATCATGGATTGCACTACTTGTTAACTCTTACTTGTTCCCCTAGGTATTTACCCCATTGATGCCGTATGCTAACAGCTCTTTCTAGGATCTATTGTCACTTGTAGATCTCTTACTTTATTGATACTTGTATGTTTGTCAAATTGTAAGTTGCTTTGGAATAAAAAAAACACAAGAGGCAGAAAACTTCAAGAGAAAACAGAAGGAGCAGGTAGAACTTATTGCATTAGTCCTAGTTAGGTGGACCTAATAAACTGGCAACTTATTGTACGTTTCGAGCGTGAAATCTTAATCTACACAGTAGCCAGTCATTACATAACTGTGATAGAGGCATGAAATGTGCTGTCTCTGCAACATAAAGGCTCCAGCCGCCTTTATTGTGCTCTGTCACTCTACCATCAAATCACCGCCCAGAGATTACATAGCTGTTTAGAGGTTAACTTTACAGTCTCACGCACAGGCTTGTTTTTGTAAGGCTAGAAGCTTCCACTCACAGTGACTGACACATTCCTTTGCCTAATTTGTTTCCTGCCATGTACAAACTGTGCAGTCATTTCAGATCCTGCCACTCCCTGCCCTGCATCAACCCATGTTATCACCATTCCCCATCACATGACCTGCTCGCCCACCTGCACAACTGTTCCCACTTTCCCCATTAGCCCTGTATTTTATATATATACTGAACAAGACCTAAGACTTTCTCTATGCACAAAAAAGGCCTATTTCTCTCAAATATTGTTCACAAATCTGTCAAAATCTGTGTTAGTGAGTCTCCTTTGCCGAGATAACCCATCCACCTCACAGGTGTGGCATATCAAGATGCTGATCAGAAAGCTTGGGTATTTGCACAGGTGTGCCTTAGGCCACATCAATACTTCCCGGCTGATCTGTTTGGTGTGTGTGTGCAGTTCCCTGGGGGTCATACTTTGATCACGCTTTGGCCTGGGAGAAGAAGATGGACGACCCCAACGTCATGGTTGTCACCTATGAAGATCTGAAACAGGTAAATCACACGCTGATTGTTCAAATATGTAAGATTAATAAAGTTGTTTTAAAAAATGATATTTGAGTATTTGAATTAGCAAGTGAAATGTCAAAATGATATAGTTTCTGCTGACCATTTGTCAACTCATCCATCAGTGTTAAACTTGATTGTTTTTTTTTGTTTTTTTTTTTTTTATCACATTAAGAGTTTGTGATAGGATTTCAGTAGAAGTGTCCGTAGTGGCTCTGATTCTGTTTCCTGTTTTGCAGGACCTGAGCGAGGGCATCCGTAAGGTTGCCACCTTCTTTGGCTTTAGCCTGACGGAGGCTCAGGTCCAGAAGATCGCAGAGGGCAGCACCTTCAGCGCCATGAAGGAGAGCTCCGCTAACTCCCTCGGCACTATGGGAAACGTCATCTTCAGAAAAGGTGCCCATTTTTTCACCACAACAAAAAAACATTTGGTTGTTTTTACTGAAATTATTATTTTATCAAGTCCATTAATGGCCATTTTTTAAAATTATACTGCAATGTGTATATTTACTGCACATACATGCTACATAGTACTTATTCTAGGTTTTCTCTCTTCACTGGAGTTTCTGCTCATGTTGACGTAAACACTGAAGCGTTTTTGAAATTATTATTATTATTTTGTACACGTTCCCCTGTAATTTAGCGCGCACATATCTGGCATTATGAGGAACTCTGGGCTTAAATAAAACTCGAAACTCGGCCTAGCAACATGTATTTGTGTGATGATATCAAAGTGTCAGTCCAAGAGTTCAGAAGCCAAACAATAACACAGCTGCAAGTCCGACTCATATTTACACCAGTTTTCATTACAAGTCTGTGTCATGAACGTTTCTGAAAAGTGGAACCTGCCTTCTCACCAAGCTTCCGGTCAGCGATTGATGCGAACGCACAAATCCCAGAAACCTGCATTCTATTGAACGGCCAGCAGGGGGCGACTCTTCTGGTTGCAAAAAGAAGTCCGGTTCCATTAGAAATAATGGTAAAATGTTTCTACTACTCAGCTGATTTATTACCCCAGTAAAGACTTTCCTGATGACTTTATGGTCTGTCGCTAGTTTCAAGTCTTCTTCAATACAAAATGATGTTCATTTGGTAAATTATGGTCCCATTTTATTTTAAAATAGACCATAAAGCAGAGTATGTTTCAGGACGGGATTATCTAAGATTGACAAGTCGTTACCATGGCGACCTGTCAATCAGGCAAGAGTGACTCGTACCCTTGGCGCTATGTAAATTTAACAGCGCTGTTGAAAAAGTGTATTAGGAGTTGGCTGTTCACTTTCTCTGAGTATATTTAGTTTTAAGACTGCTCGCTAGTTATCAAGTTATCAGCCCTGTTAAAATGACAGTTAACGTGAATTACAGACGAACCTAGCTAAGTAAGCTGACTCGCTCCGCACACGGCCGTTAGCTCCGCCGTCTCGTCCAAATATGGTCACTTCCGGGCACTTCCTGGTTGCAAAAACTCAACATGTCGGTGACCTATCGGCCAAACTCGACGCTTCAAAACGGTGGTCCACAAACCAACGGGTGACGTCACCATGACTACGTCCACTTCTTATATACAGTCTATGACTCTCTCAAACTATTTAGGCAGACTTAAAGGCACAGTTCAGCATTTTGGGAAAAACACTTTTCAGAATAAAGGCCAATTTATACTTCTGTGTAGAGCCTACGCCGTAGCTGACGATGTAGCCTATGTGCCGTCGTGAGCATTTACACGTGCGTTGGAGTCTGCGTAACTCTGCAGTTACACCGCCGAACCGCTAGCTGGCTAAGGGGTTTCTAGGTTCCACGGTGTTGAGTTTCTTGTTCTTCGTTTCGGTAGTAGGCTCCTACAAACTAGTAGTGTCGTAGTCAAGACCACCCAAACCGAGACCAAGTCAAGCCCACCGAGACAAGACCAAGACTTTTAGGGGCTGAAAATAACAGATTAATCGACAATGAAAATAATTGTTCGTTGCAGCCCTACTACTAACAATGGCAACTGAAAGTGAGCGGATCATGTTGGGGTTTGAGCTGATTGATGTTGAACAGCCGTTACTTGTAGTGAAACGAGAGAAGGCGTCGGAGTAGATGGTATGTACGACGCTTGAGCCGGTTGAGGCTAAAGAAGGACTAGCCAGAAATGCGCAGGAGGAAATTAAATGCTACCAGGTAGACATATCACAGTTCTTGCGGTCTGTGTCGCCACGACATTACATTTTTTTGGAAGTGCGCGTCAGGCTACGACTTAGGGTACACAGCAGAAGTATAAGTTGAGATGTTCAGATGTCTGTACAATAAAGAGCTGTAGTTTTGAATGTGGTTAGCCTAGCTTAGCATCTAACGCTCAAAAAGAGAGGCCTGAAATTATGAATTACTCCTTTCAAATGAGTATTTTGAGACACGAATAGATGAAACAGCATCTTGGGTTTCAAGTGTATTTCATTTAAAAGCTACTCAAGAAATTTAAATGAAAATCTGAACTTTTTTTTCTCCCTGAGCAGGAGAGGTCGGGGACTGGAAGAACCACTTCACACCAGAACAGAGCCAACAGATGGACGACGCCTTCAACAAACACCTGGCAGGAACGAGACTGGGAGCCAAACTCGACTACCAAACGCACTGTCAGTAGGAACCGAGGAAGGGAACGCAGAAAGAAGAGCTTGGGGGACTCTTCTGTCCTGAGCTGAGTCGGAAAGACCTCCCCCGCCGGCACTGAACAGATCTTTCTTCACCTGGTTTGGACTTCAACCCTGACCACGACATCAACCCGCTACCATCTTCAACCTGAAGCATTTCATTCTTCAGGAGTCTGCCGACATCTGCCTGGGAGGCTCAGTTCAGGGCCAAAATTTCCTAATGACAGGCTCAAAGAAGGAAATGAAAGAAAGAAGGTGAAAAGTGCATTATGAGTTGTTGTCTTACTCCAACCTGTGAATTTCTATTGTTATACAAGTTCTCCAACAGAAAACATTAAAGACTGTCTGTAGTTTTTCAATGAAATCACGTATCAATAAATCACTTTTTACTTCCTTTTTGTCAACAGGCTGTAACATCACATAGAAATGACCCACACACCTGTCTTTCTCTGTTATGTTTTTAATGTGAAAGCATCGGGTCAGGATTCAGCCCTGCGCGTGCTCCCGAGCCTCTCTCAGACTACAGCGACAACACCGCAGCTAACGATATGCAGTCCACTAACACCACAAAACATCCGGCTCACAGCAAAACACAGACTCAAACAAACTCCATGTAAAGATAAAAAACAACGGTTAGTTTTATGTGCTGAAGCCTGTGAGGCCAAACGAGAATCAGACTGACGATGGATGAAAACAGTCAACATCAGAAAGGCTTGAGCCGCGGAGAGACCTCCGCTGCAAAGCTTGGAATATTTTGTGCTTTAGTTGGCCAAAGTTAGATAACGCTAGCTCGCCGGCTAACGCTGACCTGTGGCTACGTTATCTGGTGCAAAGCTTTCCACATAACTTCACCAGCTAACCCAACCCATATTACTTTCCTGTGTACTTCTTGTATTATGTTATTATGTTAAAGTGCGTTTTAGCTTGCAAGAAAGGATGTAACTCCACAAAGCAAATGCGGAGCGACTCGTTGCAACAACACAAGGCAGGGCAGCCAGCAAACATTAGCACGGATCTACTGCTGTTTGCTTCGTAACATTCAATTTAGATCTATTGTAATTGTTCCGATACTCAGGTACACATCTTCTTCACTGTCGCTTAGGTGACCCACATATTATACAAGACTGCTACATTAACAGCTCAGGACAACAACACAGGAAGACCCAATCACTAGTAATGTTAGTGGTCTAACTATAATGTTATATAGTGTGACAATCTGATTAATAATATTCAGTCCAGCTCACTATCCGTTTCGTTTTCATCCAATACATTTAGCTGTGCTCACGTTGCTGAGCCTCCGGTGAGAGATAACAAATAACGTTGGTTACTGAAAAGCAGCTGGCGAGCTAACGCTTATGTACGTCAGCTAAATGGCAACTACTAATCGCCCTTTTTTTACATTTTGGGACATCAATACCCCCAATATTTGACTGTTAAATACAGCAAAGTGTCTTTTCTGCACTTTTGTACAGCTAACACAAATGAGATATAACGTATTAACAAGTGAGCTTAGGAGGTGCTGATGGTGGATTTTCTTTCCTTTTGGGCAGAGCCAGGCTAGCTGTTCCCCCCCCGTTTCCAGTATTTGTGCTAAGCTAACTGGCTGTAGCTTTGCAGGAGAGTGGTACAAGTCAGTTCAATTCAAATCAGCTTTATTGGCATGAATGTATAACAACAATATTGCCAAAGCTACAAAATAAATTACATAAGAACAATTAATTTCATACATTTCATTAAATAATTAAATAAAACAGTAAAAGTTGTGTTTGTGTGTGTGTGTTAATAAAAAATAAAATAACAATAAAAATAAAATGTTACAAAATGAAAATAATATTACATTAAAAAAATAATAAATAAAACTGTGTGTGTGTGTTTAAAAAAATACAAATATATTAAAAATTAAAATAAAATAAATGAATGAAACAGTAACGTGTGTGTGTTATTCAGTCTTCTCCTATAACTCTCAGGAAGAAAGCGAATAAGGGCATTTCCCAAAATGTCAAACATTACTTCTAAAATAAGCAGCCATGTTTGGGTTCATCTGCAGTCGTGTGCACCCGGGAGACAAACATCAGTGAATAAAACCAGGGTTATAAACACGACAAACACTGGAGATGAACGACCTGCTGTTGTGCAAAATTTTATCTGAACATTTAAAGTTAACCATTTATATTAGTCAACAGTAAGAGAACTGATGTTTGTGGAGGTCGTGTGTGCAGCTTACCTCGATCTTTGTCGGTTTCTAGAGACACAAAATCTGTTTTAAAGATGTGCAGACTGGGAGAGCAAGCAAGAAACAAGCGTCACAGTGAAGTGACAGATGGAAACACAACAAGGATTCCTGAATGCATGTAGTATTAAACTCTGGAGCCCCCTACTGATACAATCAGAAAAGACAATAATGATGAATAATAAGAAAATAAGACAGACTTTATTGATCCCACACTGGTGAAATTAACTTGTTGTTCCTTTGACACCATATACAAAAGGAAGAAGAGTAAGGAAAGGTGAATGTGAAAACTATTTACCCTCATTAAAATGCCTCCGGGCAAGTTATTCATCATTGATTATTAACTACAAAATTAATATTATTCAACATATAGCCGAGTTTTTTACAGAAAATATTCAGATGTAACCCCCGATGTTATCGTGAACATTTTCCTCAATAACTGTAATTTAATTGCACTTTTTTTCCAGTAACTGTGAAAGATTACATTCGTTTTGTAATTAAATTTGGTAACTAAACTGCATGTAACTAGTTACTCCTCAACATTGCTTTTATATTAATGTAAATTGTCTGCTACATTGCAGAAGGGAGTTACTGACTTAATTTCACATTATAGCCTGTTGTGACAAAATAAATCTGCATAACTACCTATAAGACAAGATATTAATATACAAACAAATCAAGTTTATAATTATATGTATATTAATAGTTTCAAGTGCATCACTTTGTGTTGAAATGTGGAAGAGATACTTAGCTTGTGAGACATCATGATATGCAATATTAGGTTCAGGAGAACGAGACGAAAAGATCCTTTAAGTGTTTTGCTCAATGCTGAGATATATGAGCGGGGAGTATACGAGGGACGTCCCCCAGGAAATTTTGATCTTTAAACACTTAATTTCCTGCATTCTGGTGAAAGTTTCTGCACCAATTTATGGTGGAAATGTTTTTATTTATGTAAAAGGAAACATAAAATTCTGGTGGCTGGTGACATTTCAAAATATATAAATATAACAGAGTATAACGCTCTCAGGCGTTCTGTGTTGCTTTCAGATCTGTTTCTCCAGTAGATCAACTTTAGTTATGTACTATCGTCCCTGCACATATGTAGGCATGATTTAGCCTTCCCTCCTCTTTTGTCATGTTCAAAGGGAGAGAACTGAACACTTGGCCAAAAAGAAACTTGTTGTTACTGATTGGTGCAAACACGTCACATAATCATTAGCTAAGTTTTTTTTGGACAATACACATTTATTTCTTCTATAATTCAATTGCATTGCATACTTTCTTAATGTTCAAATAAACCTTTCTAAAGGCATTTTCATTTTTTATTCAACTGCAAGCTATAAATTCAGATTTTTGGAAGCTTTATGTTATTTGGAACGTGGTTGTGTGGAGAGAAATAATGTTTTGAAGAAAACTCCCAATGAAAGTGAACATATAAACAGTATATATGGCCAAAACATGGAAATTCGCCTATATTTTTGAATTATTGTTTCTTTTCATCAAATTTACAGTTACAGTTGTATTCCAGGTGTATTAGAAGATATTCAGGTGCATTATAATCTATTTTATGATGCTTTTAATGGTTTATTGCATTAAAACAGAGCTTTTATTACCAGGCGAGGAGGAAAATATATTTTTTCTGCATTGCATATACATTTAGTCTGTAATGGTAAAATAAATATGTTAATGTACAATGGATTTATATTCCTTAGCTTCTGACCTTTCAAAGGAGACCAGAATTATGCATCTAGGCCAAATGGTTGAGGAGATATATTGATTTATTTTGGGTTTGTTATTTTAGGCGTTTTTCCTGGAAATAGGTGGCAGGTACCATGTGGTTTTAAGCAGGGGCGTTTGAAACATTGGGGTCTTAGCCAAGCCCAGAAACCTTTCATGTTCTCACCTCTCCCCCCCACCGCCGTCACTGCCTACCCAAAGAAAGTCAGTCAAACTGAACCTGAAATTTTAATTATTAAATATCATAGGCCATATAAATACATTTTTGTAAATTTTAAGAGGGGGGGGCTGGGGGTCCCCCCCCCCCCCTGAAAATTTAGGGCTTTAAACACTTCATTTCCTGCATTCTGGTGAATTTTTCTCACCAATTCATTGAGGAAATGTCTTTATTTATATAAAAGGAAACACAAAATTCAGGTGACAAATCAAAAAATAAAAATATAGTGTAATATAGAGCTGTAAGGCTCTCAGGCATTATATTTTACTGTCAAATATGTTTCTCCTGTTTCTCATTTTATTTCCTCCCTGCTGAGTCAACACACATGCAGGCATGACTGAAGAAACCTAAAGTCTTTAAACAGTTTCAGCAGGTTTTCTGCTCATGTTCAAAACTTTCTGCACATCAAAATCTCTTCCCACATATCTGTGTTCTCTGACATTTGCAGAATAACAATTTGAGATATAATATTACGAGATATAATGAGAATGAAGCCATTATGTTTTAACAACATTTACTTGCCCCACTGCTGTGCATTACCCTGCTGTTACTGCTCTGCTGATATGGTTGTAAAGCTGCTGCCCCCTTTAGAAACGTCTGACTTACACAGAGCCCGTCTGGGGCTGAAATGAATGAGACGAGCTCACTGCTCTTTATTTTTAAAAATCCATACCGGAAGTGGAATTGACGCCTACCTTCTAGGTTTATTGTGAAAGGTCTAGCCGGATGTCGTATCGTTATCGCTGTGTGAGCTTAGCTAGCTTGACCGCGTGTGTCTCCTCCCGGATGAATGAATGACATCATGCGAGCTGCTGCTGTCTGTCTGCGACGTGACGCCGTCACACAGTAACGGTTAGAGGTCCGTGGAAAAGCGGCCGTTAACCTGCACGCGGAGGTAAGAGCAGCGACGTTAACGGCTTTTCCGTTAAATAATGACTCGGCGACAGTTTCTCTGTGCTAAGCTAACGTTAGCCTCCGCTGTGTTCAGTGCGGAGCAGAGCCACGTTAGAGCTAAATGCTAAAGGATGTTTTTTTTTTTTTTACCTGTTACTCGGTTGTTTAAACGCAGAATTACGTTAATTAAAAAAGTTATTTTAAAAATTAACATTTAAAATGTCCTGTTTGGTTTAGTTTGCGTCCGGAGATTCAAGCCGCTGTTTGCTGCTCAGGTCAGCTGCTGCCTTCCGATCTGTCCTCTTGGCTTTGATTCATCTTGGCTTATTGGGAATTTACACATTTCAAGGCCAATCAATGATACATTTCAATTGATTAAAGGGATTATATATTATTATATATCCCAACTAATTTATTTACATATAACTATAAGGGTGTTTAATCACAGATGTATGCAATAAGCTGTGTAAACTGGTGCATTTTTTCCAGGTAATTCTTTCACCAGAGAAAGAGACACACCTCCATTTCATCCATTGTTAAATTGGAAGTTAGAAATGTTAATTCAAATTAATTTAAAGTGGAAATAAAAGTAGTAGTAGTTTAGTCAATTAGTTGCCATCTATGAGAAATAATCCGCAACTATTTTGTCAATTAATCATTTTGACTAATTTGTTAAGATAAAAATGTCAAAATTCTCAGATATCAGATTCTTAAATGTAAAAAAAAATAAAATAATCTGTCTTCTGTTATTGTTGTGTTGTGGACAAAAACAAGAGATTTGAGGGCGTCCTCTTGGGTTTTGGGAAACACTGATATACATTTATGTATTTTTTTTTGCATTTTCTGACACTTAATGGACCAAACAAACAATCGATCGACAGACTTATCCATTCGGTTAGTTGCAGCTCTACACTTAAGTTCAAATTTTGATGTATATCAACCTTACTTGAGTTGTAAAGTAGTAATCCCCCTGCACAAATTCAACCAATTAACAAATGATGTAGGATCAAGCCATCTTAGTGATGCTTACACATTAATGCCTCGCTAACTCTAATCTAGTGATATAATATATATTATTCTGACACGGGCCACTGAGGGGAAATTGCTGATCTATGAATGACAACTTCATATCAGCTTACCTCGTTTTTATCCTGCATGTTGTTGCTCGTTTTAATCCGGGTCAAATCAGTTCTAGTTTGATCTCTTATAAATAGGGTTTGGTGGTAAACATGTTATCTAATGGTGAATAAAAGATTGCTTTGTTATTGTTTTATTTTTGTGTCAAATGTTATAGGACCATTAATGGTGTTTAATTTACAGCTGATTACAGGCGTGCTTGGTAGTGACAGCTCTAGTTTGAGCTCTCATTATCAAGTCAACTAGATTTTAATAACCTTTATTTATTTCAAGGGTCTATATGTGTCTATTATTTTACTTTTCTGATCGATCAACTCATCATTTAGTCTGTTTTATTTCAGAAAAGTGCTCAAGAAGACGTCTTTAAATTTCCTTTTTTTGTCTGGTCAACAGTTGAAAACCCAGAAATATTCAGTTTACAGTAATATAAAACAAATAAAAGCAGCTAATCCTCACATTTATATGTGGAAATAGTAAATGTTTGGGGTTTTTTTTGCTTATCTATTCTCAACTGAGTTTCTTTGCCCATTGACTGATTAATTAATGAATTGTTTCATAACTATTCACTTCCATTTTCCTCTGTATTCCAGGTGTAGAGTGATGCAGCAGAAGTTGTGTTCCAGAAGTTCTGGCTCTTTCCTCTCGGAGAGGAACGGCCAGGCCTGCGGCTCCCGTCACTTCCTGCGACCTCCCCTTCCGCTGCCCCCGCTGCGGCGAGCAGGAGCGCTTCCGCAGTCTGGCCTCGCTCCGCGCCCACCTGGAGTACCAACACTCATACCGCTCGCCGGACGTGATCACCGGCGGCTTCAGCATCACCGGCAAACTCCCCGACCCGTTGACGGCGGCGATCCCCTGGCACGACATGAGCCTCCCGACCCGCAGGGGGCAGCACAGCTCGGGGCGGCCGCCTCACGTCCGCTCCCTCAGCGACAGCAGAGACAGCAGTTACCTCCACTCCTACAGCTCCGTGAGGAGACGCACCCAGAGCGTCGGGGTGGGGACGCAGGCCGACGAGGGGGAGGAGGAAGAGGATGACGAAGAGGAAGGGGGGACAGAAGATGAAGATGTGGGAGAAGAGGAGGACGAGGAGGAGGCAGGTGAAGAGCGCGATGGAGGTAGAAATGAGGAGGATGTCAAAACGTCACAAAAAAGTCAGACGCAGGCTACCATCACCTCAACCACCATCACCTCCCGTTCCCCCCTTTGGCTCCTGTAGGCCCCCCTCTAGACCCGGACCTGGACCTGGACCTGGTCGGTGCGTTCAGGTTCACTTACTCGTTTCCTCACTTTACTTTTTAGAGCAGGGTTTTTTTTTGTAGAAGTGATTTGAGATTTGTAAAAGCTTTTGGAATCTGATCTGGGGCAGATTTATTTAGCGAACGTCTGGTTTTTAGTTCACTCTTTATTAAACACGCTTGGATTTATTTAGTTTTAATATATGTTTCACACTACACTGACACTTTCTTGGCTTTATATTTAAGCTGGGTTTGATCTGAAGTGTTTCTGACTTGAGGGCAAGTGAGGGAAAGTGTTCCCTTTTGCCACAGACAATACAACAATAAACAGCATTTATAAACAATACTTTTCAAGACAAGACAGAATTGTTTAAAGAACGAGCACAAATCTGAGGAAGAAATGACTAAATTGCTCCTTGAGATGAGATTTAAAACATGCAGAGTTTACTGATCTGACCCCCTAACTGAGGAGCCATAGGGCAGCCTAATCATCACAGATCTTTTTCTGTAAACTGCCTGTATTTGATAGCGACAGTAGAGAGATAACAGGAAATTGGGGTAGAGAGAGAAAGATGGGGGGGGGGCTGACATGCAGCGAAGGCTGAACCTTCACGCCACACGAGTCTCGGATTTTCAGCGGGACACAACAAGCAGCCCTTGTTCTGATGACCTGTATGGGATCAGCAACTCACTGACATATGGTGAAGCCCTGCTGTGCAAGTACTTGGAAGGATTCTGAGTTCTCAAACCTTAAAGGAGACCTGTTAAGCTTTTCCACATTTTACATTTAATCATTTAGCTTTATTCTACTTGGCTTGTAGTTGCTCACTGTTTTCTTGTGCAATGAGGGATTATAACTGAAGTTTTGGGTGCTGTAGATAATCTGGTGGTTTACACAGTAACTTTTGTCCCCTTTACTGTAACCACCAGAGCAGACCTCGTACTCCGGTTTGGAGACGGCAGCAGCCTCGGCCGCCGTGCGTCGGAGACTGGCCAGCATCCTGCGCGCGGCCGACAGCACCATGCAGCGCCGGCTGGCCAAGGTGAGCACGGAGCTCGCCCAGACCGACACGGAGCTCCTGTGTGAGCGCGCTCACTCGCAGCACCTGGCCCAGGAGAGGCAGGAAGTTGCCGAGAGGGAGAGGTCACTGAGCCGGCAGGTGGACGTGGCGGTCATGGTGATCGCCGCGTTGAGGGAGCAGCTCAACGCCTCAGAGAATGAGCTGGAACGACGAGAGAGGTAAACGGGCGACAGGTGGGACTAATGGGGGGGCTAAAGGGGAGCTGAAACGATTTTACAGTATGTGTCAATCTCAGACTCAACTGTAGACGGCAGAGTTGCATTGTGGGTAATGTAGGCGCTAGGTTTTGACAAAGAAGAGGAATCTGTGGTATTGACCCTTCGCCACGCCCCGAATACGCAGCTGGCCAATGGCTGCGCTCCATTGACTCTAATGAAAAAAGAGTTGTTTTCTAACTTTCTCTGCCATATTTTTCTAACATATGGTCAAACGCTGTTCCTGCTGCACTTGTAAAAGTTACAGTCGCTACCCAGAGAGGTTGAAAGGAGAAGTACGATTTATTCTCTTTCCAAAACCTAAAACCAGAAAAATGTCGGCTGTGGATCGTTCCTAATGTAATGTTAGTCAGCTAACGCTAGCTCTGTGATCGGTAGGCTTTAGCTTCTGTCTTTATTTTTTTTCATGTCAGTTTGACAGCCTGAATAAAACCTTCAAATGCACAATGCAACTGCAAAACTGTCTGCTTCTTTCTGGGATTGCTTTATCCAGAAATTAGACAATTTCTCTGGGGAGTGCAGTAATAGACTGTGGCAGCGCTGTGATAAAGACTCGACAGGTCCTGCAGACTTAGTGACTAAGGTGGGCGTGGCTTAGCGAAGGGTCAATTAAAAAGTTGATATCTCTGGTTTGATTTTGAGACTATAAAACTGTCCATCATGTGAAATGTTTTCCTGCACAGTTCCAAATGAACCTCGACATACAGCGGGCTGTGTGTTTTGTGCTGCTGGATTACTTTTAGTAAAACAACCTTTTCCCAATTAGCCTTTCATTTGTCTCTGCAAGTGTCCCATGCAGTCGAACGCTGCACCCAGGACACCCGATGGTAGCCCTGGTAGTGAAAATTGAAATGCCAACTCAGTCTACCAAAATCTTTAATCTGACATTAACAGACCGCTTGGAAATGATGTTCAAAGCTCTTGCGATTCAGTACTGTACTTCCATAAAGCTGGGAGACAGAATCAGCAGAGGCTTAAATGACTTGACTTCAGGTCTCTAGTATGGGTCAAACTCCAAAAACATTGGACTCACAATATTCGTAATGCATCTCAATAAAATCTTCTATTAGACCCTTCCTGCCCGCTTTATTAAAACCTACAGCACCAGTTTGTAATGCAGGCATTGGAAGATCCTCCAGAGCAACAGAAGACATCAAACAGCTGTTTTCACATGCTGATTAGTGCGCTTCATAGTGAATAAACTGACTTTCTTGTGTAAAAGCTGTCGAATGCCCCTTTAATTCCAGGGGCAGATGTAGTTAAAAGGGCACATTTGCAGCCACCTTGTTTGTTTTTTCTGCTGCTTGTCTGACATGAACTGCTACTGGACCAGCAGGAGGCGAAAAGTTCATTTAAGGGCTGTATTTAAATATCATGACCTCTTTTCCAGGGAGGTGATAACCATCCAGAAGTTTCTGGAAGCAGCAGCGCGACAAGAGACGTGCGGTAAAGTTCGAATCCAGCAGTTCATCGAGAACCTGCTGAGACGCATCGCTCTGGCCGAGAGACTGGTGGAGTATTACCAGGTCAACAGCAGCCCGCAGCAGTGCAACCACTACAAGGTACAACAACACACGTCCCAGTGGTGGAATGTGACCAGGTACATTAGCTCCTTGCTTTACTAAGTACGAGCGCAGTTTGTGAGAGGCGATTCGTTGCAGGAAGACGCCGGTGGAAACGTGAGTCAGTCAGTTGGAGAGAGGAGTTTGTTGTGTTGGAGTAACATTAGGATAAGTCCTGCTAGCAGCTCCTCTACGTGCACAACAACCTGCAACAACTCGCCCCTCACGAGATTTCAGAGCGAGAACTGTCCTTGAGCGAGAGGTTTAAAAATATACTTACATACGTGTACATTGGTATTATTTTGAATGCAGGACTTTTTACTTGTAACGTAGTATTTTTACACTGTGGTATTACTATTTTTTACTTGAGTAAAGCATCTGAATACTTCTTCCACCACTGCAGAGCTCTTTCGTCAGTCAGTCATGAACACAAACACACTTCAGGTCGAGGAATTAAAGATCCGTTTGTCATGAAAACCTAACCTTTGACCTTTTGCTGTCTCCTATCAGCACCAGCAGCCAACTGATAATGGACCTCACAAAATCACTAAAAGCAGGTGAGTGGCTCGCATGATTGTTAGGGTTGGGCCGATAGACGATGCCATCATCCATCGGCGACAGCTGACAGACATCGCGATGTTGAGCAGGCATCGTGATTCTAAAACTAGCAAAGAAATTCAAAATTTAATTGTTTAAATGTTAAATAAAAACAACATTATTAAATGATCATAAATCAATAAATCAGTAGCTTCAGACAGACAGTAGACCGTATATGACGGCTCCCCACAAGCGCAGCCAAAACACCTCGATCGCCCCCTGGTAAGTGGCTGCAATATAGGTCATAAAGCCTGCAAATAAATTATTCCCAAAGATGTTCATCATCACTTTAGGTAGATGTTTGTTCAAGTTTTTTGGTTTTAATTAGTTATTTGATTGCTTCTTTAATCATTACAACAGTTTTTAGCTATGCTACCATGATTTCAAAAGGGTTTTCTATCGATCATTTAGTCTTTTAAAACGATAAACTTGGATTAGCAAACATGACGTTGGAACCCGGGCTGATGGTTGCTGATAACTGGCCTGTGTACGCCTCTGTACATTCACTGTATTTCTGATCATTCTGATGTTATTTTAATGGGGGAAAAATGTGCTTTTCATTCAAAAACAATAACATTTCTAAGTGTGTCCAAACTTTTTATGACCTCCTGTAGACTTAAAAGGTAGCATTTAAAAGTTGGCAGTGTTTTCTTACAAAGAACAGCGGCTGAGGTCCGTTTGAATTCTTTAGAAGTGTGTATTAGATTTATCTCTCCCCGCTAATTAACGTATAATTGTGAGAACATCACCTTGCCATCACTAATGCCTCTCAGCTGTAAAAAGGTTTATTGCTCGGCAGGAGTCGTGCTCTAACAGCGCAGGTGAACTGCTGCTCCGGTTTGAATCACAGCCACAAGGTGACAGAACGGCAGCTAAATCATTCATGGGGACTCTTGTGTCGTCTGTCAGATTTCTGTGTTGCTGTCAGCATGAATAATTCATCACTAAACACTTTGTCCTTCCACTCAGTCACCGGAGTGGGATTACCTGTCGGTCAGTGTGCTGCTGAAAGTGTGCGTTTGCGTGACTCGATGGGATATTACACTTTCTCTTTTGTTGACATTAGTCGCCTGTGCATCATGAACACCTGCTCTTTTTCTTCGCCCACCAGCGCTCGCAGTTTTTCAGTTTCATCCCATCTTGAAATATCCACAGTGAGGGAGGGAGTTTAGCTTTAACCATTTGTTCTGAAGAGACCTGATTTCAATTCTAAGCAGATAAAAAGTAAGTACATCCAAGTAAAGTTGAACTACCTGGTGAGTTCAGAAAATATGTGTCTGTAACTTAACTTTACTGCGAACAAGTTAGCAAAGCGCAGCCCTGATCGATCCGAGCTCAATTCAGAAAACAAACAATTTAGAAGCATGAATTCATGTTTAACAAATCTGCGTCATAGTGAAGTTGTTTCGGCATTAGTTTATTGCTCTTTAATCACAGCAAATGTGTACTTGGGGTTCATACAGCTGTAGTAATGGCGAGTTGTGGTTATTGTGTGTGAACAGTCAGCAGTTGTCCAGCACTAAAAACCCCGCGAGGAGAACGTCGCGTGGATTAAATTCGCGTTTGGCCTGAATGCCGCATAACACGTCACCTGACTTCTTCCTTTTCTGCCAATACAATGCCACTAGAGGTTGCCGCCACATGACATAATACGCGTCGTAATAAGCTGCTTGAACAAACAACATATACCGTTGTTTTTCTGGCGAGGACATGCTGGATACTGAGTCATGTTTGTGTCACCTGATGAATGTGCAACTCTTGTTTTTGGGCCAAATTATTACACAGTATAAACCTCTCACAGTGGTCACATCTGTCCGGGTTTAAATTGATGATGAATAAAAGAAACTAAAATGTATTATTTGCTATAAAACCGCTCAGGTTCACCTTCACTACAACCTTTTCTGTGTTCATGTCCATGTGACATTTCCAGGTCAGCGGGAGGTCAGCTGTCCTCGTCCGGTCTGCATGACAGCAGAAGCCGCTCCTCCTCTCATTTCGGCGGCCGCCCACCGTTCTCCAAAACGGGCGGGGAACGGGAGCGTGAGCGGGAGCACCGGGAGCGGCTGGCCCAGTCCTCCAGGCTGTTCTGTCGACCCGAGCACAGAGACGACATCTGGAACCACCAGCGCCGCCGGTCCGCCGGGTACGAGGCTTAGAACTGTGGAGAAGCACCAGGGAGAGGGAGTGTCAGTGGGTAAAACTTGATTTAACAATGACTTTGTTCCAGTGTGTTAACCTATGGAAAAGTTCTGCACATCCACATCAAGCTGTTTTAGAACAGACGATCTGCACTATGAAGTGATTAATTCTCCAGTAAAAAGCTCGTAAAACAGCAAACTCTGTTAATTAAGTCTGTTCATTTTGAAATGGCATTTTGAAATTTATTTTTTAGGCAATTAATTAATCAGAAACAGGAAATCAAGTAATTATTTTGATTATTTTAATTATACTCTGCATGGGATGTTCACAAATGGAGCAACTTATTATAGACTTAATTTTGAAAAAAAAACCAAAAACAAGTTTCTAGTATAAAAAATCATTACATTACTTATGCGTTCTGTAAAATCATTTCACAAATCTTACATTTAATGTTTGTATAGCGTGAGCGAATATAATCGCTCCTCCTGAATGAATGCTTTTGCAGCTGTTCTTACTCCATTATTTTTATACATCAAACTAGGAAAACCATAGAAAATAAGAGAATACTATTTACTAAATTTTATTTACTATTTTATAAATGATAGCTGCTTGGCTTTGGGACAGCCTGATCTCTAATAAGAGAATAAAAACTCATTATAGTAACTATTACTGCGTTATAACAGGGTTTAAGAACGTAATGCAATAACAAATATTACTGCATGGCACAATTGGCATCAAGTTGTAATCAAGTCTTTTTATCTCCAACACTGTGTTATTGCATATTTCAGACTTTTCCATAGATTAGAATACTGAAATATACCATTATAAAGAGTCACACTGGACAGCGGGATGCAAGTGTGGGTAAACTTTCAATATTCAAATTATATAAACGAATGACAGCTTCTATAGTCCTCTGTCTCATTTATCAGCACAAACCATAATATTTAGTGCAGTAATGCAGCGTTCTGATTCCTCTCCTCTGTATTTTAGAGAAACTTCAGGTAAAAATGTGCTTTTTATTCATCTTCTGACTTAAGATTTAATTACAGTCGAGTCAAGTTGTTGAGCGTTGAAGAAAGTCTTCTTCCTGAATCAGAGAGAACGAGAATAAATAAGTTCCCTGCGATGTTGATGACACGTCCTCTCCTCTGGCTGAACCTTTACATGCTGGCCTGGTTCGCCAAAAACTCCCCATGAGTCCAGTTATCTTACTCTGTCTGTGCTTTTAATGCCAAATTGTTCTTTTGTTTTGTTTGTCTTCATTTAGGCCTGCTAGAATAGTAGGCAGTTTCAAAAACAGCCTAAGCTTTTAATTTCTCCACATGTTGATTGATTTTTTTTTACCCTCTGTAAAAACAAAAGTGTAAGGAATGGATTTAACAGTGTGTTTGATAGCAAATATTTTATACTCCGTGTTTGTGGGGTTACAGGTTACATTAAAAACAGCCCCAATCACGAGCCGGTCCCAGATGCTATCAGAGTTTAGGCGAACATTAGCGGCTATGTCCTGCTCTTTATACTGAAAATAAGAATAAGTAAGTGAGCTGAGCGGCCAAACAAAGTTATGTGAGAATGAAAGAAGAGTATGAACTTAGGTTTTCTGAATCATACCCACAATACTACGAGTAACTAGCTCTAAAATGCAATACAACAATAATGCTGTTTCTTTATTTCTATGTCTTCTACATGGAATTTTTTACCAGGGACCTGTTAGCTGTGCCCTCTGTCTTTTAGCATGACATCATGTATGTAGCCATAACAAGTGCATATTTAAGACCCCTGTACAGAACGCTGAGGTTAAAACAAGTCAGCATGTTGAGGGGGGGAGGTCTTTATTCTTTATATTGGTATGGCGCTTCCCATCAGAAATGCATTATCTGGCCAAAAAGCCAGTTTAAAATACAGTTTAGTTATAATTTATTTAGTTTTTTAAGTGTCTCTGTGTGTCTTAACAGATCCCATCCACAAGTCATATTGGCACAATAAAGCTCCACCTATTTGTCTTTGGCGGCTTTTAAAATCTTAATTTTTAGCTGTGTTTATAATGTTAATTGTTTTGTAATTGAGGTGTTGTCACATTATCGCCCTCGCAGCTCTGATTTGGTTCGTAAAGCACAGACAAGAGTTTGATGACACCAGACCTGGTTCAAATCAGTGTTGCATATAATTATTGGCTCTTGTGAGAAAGGTCGGTTCAGCTGTGCAGTAGTTGTACATAGAGAGAAGACTTTTTTTGTGTGTGTTTTTCTGGCAGCTGTGGTCCAGTGTAGCCAAGAGCACGATTAAACCAGAGATGTAGTGGAGGGTAAACCCAGATGTACTCAAGTTCACCCACTCTTTGTTTTGTAATGTAGCCCACCTTCCTTTAAAGGAACAGTACAACATTTTTGGTTGGTTTTCATCCCAGCCATGGTCAGATGAGCATGGACAATTTCCACACATTAAAGGTGATAATCTATATTTTTGTAATTGTCAACAAATCACATGTGCAGACTCAAACCAACAATGAATGGGGCGGGAGGAAGGGACTGTCTTTCAGGAGACACTCCAACACATTGTTGGAGTGGTTGACAATAACAAAAATATAGAATAACATCAGATTTATTCTTTAATTATGCATTTAATTTAATTAAATACAGCTGAACCAGGCGTTGGTGAACTGGATATTTTACCCTCCCCTACATGGCCATGCAGATGCAGGCACAGTTTGTCCCAGGTCTGGAGGACACCACGCATACAACGAATGTACTCTCCGAGTTAACGTATAGCTCACACTGAAGAGAACGCCGTGTTTTAAGACCTGACTGTTGTCTCGCCGTTCAGGCTTAAACTGGCGCTCATTCACACAGAAACGGGTGGAGATTCTCCGATCACAAATGAATGACGTCGTATCAGCGCTTTCATCCAAAGTGACTTAACGTGCCGTGAATGCATATAGTTCCTTTGCAGTAAACTAAACAGCTCATGACGGCTTGTTTAATAGAATCATTCCTTTTCTCTGCGTCGTTCTGTGCGATTTGTTTACACGTCGGTTTTGCACTCATCCAACGATAAGAATGTAATATATAAAAGACGGTATTTGGTGTAAAATGTATATTTGCTGTCGGTGGTTTAGGTTTTGTTGACAGTGTTGATAGACATTTTGTAAACAAAGCTATTATGTGTCGTCAAGTGGAAGTAGTAGTCCTACTGTACTTAACTTGGCAGAACATTTATATGGGTCACAAATTTTTTTTTTTAATTTGTCATCAGGTGTCTTCAGGTCCTGGAAAGGTCTTAATATGTATGTTATGTCAATTCAAGGCCTTAAAGGATTTATCCTGGACACACTGATTAGAGCTGCACGATTTGGAGAAAAAGTCATGTTGCGATTATTGTGAACAATATTGCGATTCGATAATAATGGAACAAATGGTACTATGAGTCTGCTTGCTTAATTATTATTTATAACCATAACTAGTAAAACAGAACATGGCGCAGCTTGTTGCTCTCAGGAGGCGGCTAGAAGCAGCATATATGGGCACACTGGCGCCGGCTCAATGTACTGCAGAGTCTCTATCCACAACCTGGAGGAGTTACTGTACATGAGTGTATTAAATAAAGAGTATAATGTTTAGTTTAATAGTTTACTGCTAGTATAACAATAATATATTAAATACTACATTCATTATAATTTCATATAATAATATACTTTTTTTTACCACCAGTTGAATATTAAGTCCAGTTACAGCTGTTTCATTTCTGTGGGTTGTTTTTATTCATTAAATCTTTGTGCAAGCAAAAGGCTCTACATTGTTCTCTAATTTGTTAATGCGGAGCACCCGGGCCTTTCTCTCGGTGCTCCGGTGGCGAGTCCGACTACATTCTGAACGATTAGCGGCGGGGCGGGGAGAAAGTTTACGCTAGGTTGTTGTCTTAAAAGTTACTGGCACACTGCTCATAGATAACTTTTCTCATTGCAGGTAGGCTTTTCTGTTTTGGGTGCACACGCGAGAGCCGGTGTGGGCGGAGATAATGAGCAGACTGCAGCGCACACAGAGAAGAGATCGTCACACTCCCCTTTCTCTGTTTATTAAATCGCACACTTTTTGCGGTTATGCAATCGCACATGACGACATCGCGATTAGATTAATCGTGCAGCCCTAACACTGATCTAAAGAAACAAATGTGTTCACCACAAAGTTTGAAAACTTGGTGAGAAGTCATTATGTCCTGCAGTCTCTCTTCATGATGATTTTCTGGTTAGTAAATAACTAACTTGATTTAGTTAGTCGATCTTGTTTAATTTTCTAATTGGCAGTTGTAAATCCTAGACAATAGACCTCGCAGGCACCCTGAACAGCAGTTGTGTCAATCGTGATTTATTCCAAATTTATTGGAAGTGCACTTTTATTGTAAAGCCAAATGGTGTACTGTAACAAACCAAGTCAGATTGACTGATTGATCTTGCAGTTTCAGTAACACCTGATATTGCATGTTAAATTGAATATCTCTTTAGCATCACCATTGTTTTATTTATATGACTTCAAAGGCCATATCAGTTTACTCCCCACTGCTTCTAACCACATAAAAACCGATCCAGATACATTTGGTCAAACCGCCCACGGAGTATTCAGACTCAGACTCCTGAGTCCTTTAGCACTTTGTGAATTTCGGCACTGATGATCTAAGCACAAGTGTTGCTGCTGCTGTCGACTAAAACCCCATCTCTTTTTACTTCTCTAACTGAAAGAAACAAGAACCAGTTTATGTAGATACTGTATGTAACAACAGCATTAAATATTTATTTCTTTTGTTTTTCAGTTTCAATGAGCCCTAGAGTCACTTGTGGTTTATTTTTCCTAATGGGGTTTATGATAAATCAAAGCGCGTCGGTCCAGACTTTCAGTCAGACATTCATGAAAACCGGCTTATTTCGACTTCTAGAGGTTCTAGGTTTTTTTATGTGAGAATGCATCGCTCTGTGTAATGCCTGGTGCACATGAGAGGGATTTTCAAACCGGTCAGCTCGCTCTTATTGGCTGTTGAGAGTTTCTGATCAGAGGCTCCCGTATTTCGTATCGCAAGTATCAAGCGTAGATATTTACGATTCAAGATCCACTGCAAACCCCATCCATTCCTCTTCCCTGCAAACTTCTGCCCGAAGCGTCACGACTCCCTAACAAATAATACATACAGTATTTTGCGGCGTGGATATAGATTGTCTGCGCCCTGTCAATGCCAGCAAACTTGGCTAACTTTAGTTAGCATGGCTGCCCTGCAAATATAATCGGGGAAACATGTTTGATATTTATGTCCAGTTGGCGACCTACGATTATGTCTGTAAACTCCTCACACTAACATTATTTTCATAATCGATTAGTCTGTGGATCATTTTTATGATTAATGAAATCAGTCGTTTGGTCCATAAAATGTCACAAAGTGCTGAAAAATGGAGATCAGTGTTTCCCAAAATCCAAGATGACATCCTCAAATATCAACGATATTCAGTTTACTTTCATAGAGGACAAAACAAGCCGGAAGATTTTTACATTTGAGGAACTTTAAATCAGAGAATTTTCTTAAGAATTTACTCAAAACTATTAATCGATTATCAAAATAGTTTATTGGGTTACTACCAATCGATTTATCGACTAATTGTTGCAGCTCTCCTCACACTACAGGATCATTTGGGCCGATAATATTTCCGACCAGCCTCTGCGATTATTGGGAGCGGCGAATTGGACCCAAAATCAGTCAAATTATAATTTTTAATACAACCTGACCTTAGATAAAACCACCAAATCAATGAAACTCCAGTTATTGGGTTTTTTATGCACACAGCAGCATCACTTGTGAAAGATGTGTGTGTGGAGGAGTGTGTGCTTCCTGTTGTGTGTTTAAGGTGCTCAGTCATTGGAAAGG